CCCTTCAGTGGAGAACCTGCGGCACCTGATCCTGTGGAGTCTGCTGCCCGGTCACACCATGGACACTCAGGCTGCTGGGGAGCCCGAGGATGACCTAACACCTACACCTTCAGTCGTCAGCATCACCTCTCACCCCTGGGACCCAGGTTCCCCAGGACTAGCTCTGGTCAGAGGTGACAGGACCAACACCCAGCTCCCAGAGCCGGAGGGAGGCCAGCCAGAGCAGGAGGATGTGGCTCACTCTCTGGCCCACCTGCCCCCAAGGACCAGAAATTCTGGGATCTGGGAGTCTCCTGAGCTGGATAGGAATCCACCTGAAGAGGCCTCAAGCACAGAAGCAGCAGGGAGTTACAAAGTTGTGAGAAAAGGTAAGATGCATTGGAATGTGCCCTAGGGAGACACCTACTGCTTTGCTGGGGTAGAGGCAAGTTCCTGCAGCTACTTCATTGCCATCTTTATCCTGGGAACTGTGTGAGCAGAGACTAGCATGGGACCCTGAGGGAAGGAGATACATTTGTACCATGTGAAGGCTTTGGTGTCAAACAACTGAGGTTCAAAGATTCAACTCTGTTACTTAATGTCTCTGACCTGAGACAAAACTGTGATCATCTCTGAACTCCATTCTGTTATATATATAAGTGAGGACATTTACTATTACCCAGCAAAAGTCACCTCCCAATAAAGGTTTCTGTTCTTTACCACCCTTCAAGTCCTGAGGAAAAGGTGTGGTTTTTTTCTTCCCAGGAGCCTCCAATCCTCGACAAGATAGCAGCCAGAAAGGGAGGCAAGGGAGGGACACTTAGGGAGGGAGGGACTGTGCCTGAGGGAACAAGATGACAGGAAGGGGCTCCAGCTGGGAGGACACTGCTGCAGACAGCTCTGTGACAAGACTCACCTGCTGGGGTGGCGGGGAGGTGTCAAGCCCAGCTGGAGTGGCCAGAGCAGGGAGCTGAGGAAGGGCAGCTCACACCCAGCAGAGTGAGCTGAGAAGACCAGCAGGTCCGAGGAGTGTGGTGGGAAAGATCCCGAAAGCTGGCGCAGGAGGCTGGTAGGCCCTGCAGCGGTGCCACAAGAGCTTCCTGTCCCCCTCATGCCTCATGCTGCCTCCTGCCTGTCTGCCTGAGGTGTGCCCACTTCCAGTTTCTGAGAACTGACCTTCCTCCCTCTGTCTTTCGGTGAAATGGTGGAAAGTTCTCTGCAGCTCCCAGGAGGTGATCGTGTGTGATCTTGTGCTCACGGTGTTCTTCCCTTTTCTTGTTTCTGCCACCTCTTCCCCCCCCTTGCTGCTCCCCTCCCTTTCCCTGGCTTCTGGCCTCTCGCTGGTGGTGGTGGTGGTGCAGCTGAGGTGGCAGGCGGCAAGGCTGCCCCTGTACTGCCAGAGGGTGGCCAGTCAGAACCGGAGCCACCTGGAGTGGAAGGCGGAACAAAGGCTGCGGGTAATCAACCTCTCCTTTAGCCATAGCCGGGCCAGGGCTGTGGGGCAGAGCTGAGCCTGGGGCATCAGACCTTGTCTGAAGTGCAGATGCCCTCAACTGTCTCAAGTGGGTCGGGACCCTGTGCTATAATCTAACCTCCAGCTCTTGAAAACCGCTCATCAGGAGCTGTGTGGCCCCTTGCAGAGCACAGGTTTAAGCAGCCTGTGCCCAGTTGTGAGGTGAGGCAAAGAAGCGAGCTGGGGCCCAGTGCCGAGAACCCAGCCAGTGCGCTTAACCTGACATGCTGAGCGGGCACTTCTACCCCAGGCCCCACTCCAGTGCTACTGTGGAATCCAACTTCCAGCGGCCTCCCAGACCCCTCAGTGCCCACCTGCCCTGCTAACTGTGTGGCCCTCCACCCCTTCCTCGCATGGTCTCTGACCCCCCTGCTCTGACAGTTCAGGCGGGGGCAGCATTGTCACCTATCAGCAGAGATGGAGCTGAGGCAGGGTGAATGAGGCTGCTGCTGCTACATTTTCAAAAGAGTCCAAAACCAGCCCAGTGTTTCTTTGCCTTCCCTTCAAGGGATGGGAGCCACTCCCTGCTCTCCAAATGGAACACGGCCACCTGCCCTCCCTGCTTCTCCTCCATCACTAAGCACCTTCCCTGGCATGTGGCCAGCCTCACAGAGTTGTCATCTTGAGGTAGAAGAGCCGGTAGGCACGTGAGGCCCACATGGGTCACGCTGTTGTCAGAGAAGGCTTCCCGGGCCCATCCTATCTGCCCGCGTGTATGTGGAAACACTGAGGGAGGGGGAGAGAACTCGGGTGTCTCTCTGCTTGCCTCCTGATCTCTTTCTCTCCCCGTGGGAACAGGGAACTGTTTTTATGTCAGCATGCCAGCAGGACCAGTGGACTCCAGCACCGACCCTTCAGGGGCTCCCACAAGCCACCCCCAGCCACAAGCAGGCAGTGGAGATCAAAGACTCCCCAGCCGCTCTTCCCCTGACCTGGCCCTCAGGGACGTGGGCATGATTTTCCGCACCATCGAGCAGCTCACCCTCAAACTCAACAGGCTCAAGGTGAGGGACAGAGGCGAGGATCCCTGGAGGCCTTCATTATGTCATCCAGAATCATTCACTAAGAGTGAGGTGTCTTTGTGGGAGCCCTAGACCTGGCCTCTGCCCACCCAGCCACCTTGAAATCACAGGGGCCCAGCACAGATGGGAGAGTGAGCGCCTTTCCCCCAGAAGCCTATGAATAAAAGAACCTGAGCAGTCATCCCCCAACTCTTCCAGGACATGGAGCTGGCCCACAGAGAGCTACTCAAATCCCTTGGTGGAGAGTCCTCTGGTGGCACCACACCTGTGGGCAATTTCCACACAGACACATCCAGATGGACAGACAGCTCCCTCTCCCCTCCAGCCAAGGAAGCCCTGGCCTCTGATCCCCGGGACAGCCATGAGCCAGAGTCCTACCCTGAGGACGGTGAGTGAAGCCAGCTCATTCCATGCCCACATGAAGGAGAAGTGTGTGTTAGCAGGCAATGTGAGAGGTGCAGGCTCTGAGAGTCATGTTTGTCCTTGACTAATAACTCACTCTTAGCTCCAGAAAGTGATCTTTTTTTAAAGACACCCACAGAAGATCCCTTAAAGATGGGACCAGAATTGAACCCTATTTCTTTGTGCTGTGTAGTTATGCACCAGAGGGAGCCTAGTCTCACACCTACAGCCTTTACTTGTTAAATGTTCAGAACCAATTAAGTGGCCTAAGGGGCTGGGGATGTAGCTCAGCGGCAAAAGCGCCTGCCTGGCAAGCGCAAGGTCGTGAGTTCGGTTCCCAGTACCGGAGGGGAAAAACAAAAAAAAGTGGCCTGGCCATGTCCCAACGCTGGGTGTAGTGGTGCACTCCTATAATCCCAGCACTCGAGAGACTGAGGCAGGAGGATCGTTGCGAGTTCAAGGCCAGCCTGGGCTACAAAGTGAGTTCAAGACCAACCTGAACTGCTTAGTGAAACCCTGTCTCAAAAAGACAAAAAAAAAAAGACAAAGTACATATCTACCCCACCTAGGGATTTGGAGGCTGACAGAACAGAAGTAGGGTTCAGTATGCAGCCTCTTTCAGGTCCTACCAAAAATGAGGGTTTCTGAAGCAGGAGGAGTGCTTTACCACAGACAGATGATGAAGTTTAAGTCCAAGGAGGGCTTTCTAGACAGCACACAGCAGGGTTCACCTCAGGCAGGGCCGGCTTCTCACCCTGCCATTCTCTCACAGGCTGTGACACCCCTCTGGAAGACAGCACTACAGACACACCTGTGTCACCAGGACTGTAGCCACCATGACAACCAAATCCTGTGCATCCCCACCTCTCCATCAGGGACAAGCCTGAGGCAGGGGTGCCAGCAGGGAGGCCCCAGACCACCTCCCTGTGGAAGGGGCAATGGGGAAACGGATGCAGCCGAGGCCTGGGGGAGACCCGCATGTTGCTTGGTCTGCACAGATCGAAGCCAGGTCTCAGTGTCTTTCCCCTCCCTCCAGCCCTCTAGCCCAGCCCTCCAGGGCCTCAGTCTCCTGAGCATGTTGACTGCCTCTGAAAGGCCCCTACTCGCCCGTTGGCAGTGGTCTGCTGCGCCCACACGGCATGCGCACCTGCGTGCACACCGTGTGCACAGCGCCCTGTATGCAGGTGAAAGGAGGAGGCTCCAGTGTAAATGCACTTTCTTCCTCCCCATCTCCTCAGGACCCCAGGCCAAGCTGGGTGTCTCCCCTCTCCTCTTGGTCACTTTGGATTCCTATAAATATGTATGTATTGTATGTGCATCTTTGCTGTTGTAAATAACTTGACTTCTGTTTCTGTCCCTGAGTGCTGGAGGTAGTTACAGAAGGGACTGTTAAGGAAAGTGGAGTAGGGCCACCACTCGGATCCCTTCACAGCAAGCCCACCCACCCATCCAGGGTCAGGGCCTGAAGGAGGAGGCAGGCTGGCCTGTCCCTGTGCTGTATGGGGAGGTCTCCTGACCCCTCCTCTGTGGCCCGGTGCTCGGGACAGGGCCTGTGGAGAACTTCTCGTACCGTTGTGTCCTCCCTTCCCCACCTGCCCCTATAGAAACCTGTGTAGCAGGTATGGAGCTGAAGATGGACCCTAGGAGTGGGCAAGGGATTTGAATGCTGGAGTCCCTGAATTAACCCAGGACCATCCGTGGGGGCTACCACAGCCTTGGCCATCACCATGTCCTCACTCCAGCCCCCACTGATGACTAAATATACACACTGTGCTAGGTGTATATATACATATATATAAATATATATATAATATATAAAGTATAGATATGGAAATGACTGTTTTGCTGTTAAGATAATGTATACTCTTATTTTCTTCCTTTCATGGTTAAGATTTTTTTTTAAGAAAAGTTAAATATTCTTCAACTGTGGTATGTGTGTGATTCTTGGGACCACGTTGATAAAAGATACTGACCAGAGTTGTTCCTGATGCCAGAGCCTTAGAACCAGGTCTTACCACGTTGTTTTCCAAAGCTTCAGATGTGTGTTCCCTGAAGAGCTAAATTATACAGTCCCAGGCAGAAAATTCAAAAGATAATGCACTCAGTTTACACACAAACACAAAGGAGCAATGGGCCCAAGGCCCAGGGACCTCAGGAACTGCCCCCAGGCAGCAGTAGGACTGTGACCATAAGGTACAGGGGTCATTGAGGCCTGGCCAGCACCCACTCCCTCAGACACAGCCAGGTCACCAATGATAAAGTGTGGAGAAGGACCGGGGCTCCAAGAGGACTGGCAGGGGTAGCAGGAAGCTGGGGTGTCTGATCGTCATGTTCTGCGTTGGGAATTCAGAGAAATGACAGCTTGTCGCTCCAGTGCCTCCGCAGAGTCTGAGGGCTCACCGGCCGTAAGGGTGCTCACAGGCGAATGTGGAGCGGTCAGTGCCCTGGGCTGGGCAGGGAGACTGGCTCTAATCTGCCCCTCTTCTCGGGGCTCCCTGCTACTGGATGTGGGCGCCTCAGAGTCAGGTCTGTGTTCTCTGGGTTCAGGTTACCAACAGTGCTTGCTTAGTCTTTGCCACGTAGGTGCTGAGCCCTGGCCTTTTCCATACCCATCAAATACCTGAGTGGGCCAGATTGGAGGGGGACATGCTCAGTACCTCCTCCTCCCGCTGCCACAGCTTGTGTGTGTCAACAGGCAATCCCTGGCAGAGTGTATATCCTCTGACAAACTTGGAAAGTGACGGCCTGGACAAGCAGGAACTAGTCCTCCAGAGACAGGGGCAATCCCTGGCCATCTGATGCCGGCGGAGGGGCTGAACTGTGAAGTGATTCACACTGTCATTTCTGACCATGTAATGTGAACAGATCAAATGTTTCACATAGCTGTGGAACAAACTTCAAACACCCCTAAGGAAAAGTACAGCAATAGTCTGTTCCTGGTCTAAGGTTTCCCCTGGTGGGTCGCCACACATGGTGACAGTGCGAGTGTGTCTGTGGCCCGAGCTTCGGTGAAGATGGTGGTAGGGGCTAGGTAGAGAAAGGCGGGGCCTCCTCATCCTTGAGCTTGACCTTGATGGGGTCCTTTGGCAGCATCAGTTCCTGGATCATGATGTGCATGGGACATTGTGAGTCGAAGCAGTTTTTCTGCAGGAAGAAGATTTGGCAGCTGAGAAGAATGAAGGTTAGTCCTCTGTGAGAAAAGATGCCCTGGAGCAGGACAGGTTAGGGGCTAGCAGACGTGGAGTGAGTAACACTGCTGATCTTAGGGCAAGAGGAATGCAGTCCATGTTGTAAAATGGAGCGGGGGGCTGTAGACCTGCCTCGGAAATGGAAGGCAGAGGTGCCTGTAGCAGTGGTGAGAGGAGGAGGAACTCACCGCCAGGGACAGCCACAGCAGCCCCACTGGGCCCTTCGATGCACTCCTGGGTTTGGAGAGCTGTGCCTGGTACCGCACTGCTGCGAGGAAGCCCTCCAGCCCCACCTCTGTGATGCGGTTTCCTGGTGGTGAGAGGTGGCCTGTCACACCCTCTGAAGCCTGCCTGTCCAGCTCCCCATCCCCAGACACCCCCCACCAGGACCACCTTTCCCTGAGCAGCCCTCCACCCCAACTCCCTGACTGCTTGCTGTCTGACTTCCCTTCCCCCTCTTTATTCCCCCTCCCCCACCTGTCTTACAGTCCTCAGCCTCCTCCCTGAACCAGAACTTCCCCTCACCCCTGGCCCGTGCACAAGGGCCTCAGACATGATCCCAACTGTGGGAGAACCAGGTATGCTCCCTGAGAGTTGGGGTGGGCATCCTTCTGACAGGAGCTACAAGGGGTGGGGGGCAGGGAAGCTCGGCAAACATACGGAGGAGGTTGAGGTACAAAAGGACCTTGTTCCCAGGCATGAAAACCTTCCCATCTCGGTGCTCCATGGGCTCCAGGAGAGGGTTGATCATCTCTGTAGCTTCTGCAACCAGCTGCTAAAGCAGAATACTAATTGCAGCGGAGCAGAGGGGAGCTGGTCAACAGGCCAGTCATTCATTCATTCAACATACATGTTTTGCGTGCTGGCTAGAGTCCAGGATCTGTCCTAGGTGCTGGGGACACAAAGATAAATAAGCCCATACCCTCCAGAAGCTCCTTGGTGTGTGGGAGCCCGAGTAAAATTGGAACTCATTACAGCATGGCCCCGGAAGAGGTAAGCTAGGAGTGCTATGGAGTGTGGTGGGGGAGCTCCTAGCCCCATCTCAGGGTGGGAACAGCTGGAAGATGTGCCTGTGAGTTGCAGTGTGAAGGTATTGACATCCTCAGGTGAAGGAAGGCGAGGGGAAGCTGTTCAGGCAAAAAATGGCTGTGCAAAGGCTCCGCAAGCAGGAAACAGCACACAGAATTTCGCTTATAGCAAGTACTTGCTACCATGAGCAATGAGAGCAGACCGGCAAGATGGCGGTGGAGGCATGTGAAAAGGTGCTGGTGAGAAACAGCCTGTTCAAGACAGGCTGAGGCCACAGTGGTTTTCCTTTGTGCAATTTCCTGTTCTAAGAGCTTGTCTTAGGGGACAAGGGAGACTTCTGTAAGTGGATGGGGTGCTTCCCTACCTGGAAGGTCTCAGCAGGGCTGGGGCAGGGAGAAAACAAAAATATAAGGACAGAAACAGACCCATAGTGGCTGACAGGTTGGAAAGCTGGAAGTGTGAAGTCAGCACCTCAGGCAGATTTCAAAGCACAGAGCAGGTTGGTCAGAATAGAGCAGGAAAGGGGTGAAAGAGAACACCCTTTGTTCCCAAAGAGGACACCCTTTGTTCCCTGTGCAACTGCCCAAGCAAGGGTGGAGCGGGTGGCCTTTGGAGAAGTAGCTTCAATTGAGACAGCAGATCTAAAGTGTGGGCTACAACCGGACAAGGAAAGGGAGAAGGCCTTGTCCAAGTCAGAAGGGGAGGGAAACGCTAAGCTTCACTGCTGCCACAGCAAGCCCAGGTTGGGATGGAGGAGCTTTCAAGTGTGGTGGAAATAGCAGTGGAGGGAAAAAGATGAAATGACTCCTGCCAAGGCCCAGGGCAGAAGACCCCATCCCAGGAAGGGCCGGAGCATCAGCACTCCTGAGGAAGCCCGGACCCCACCTCTGCTTCTCCCTCAACTTACCTCAGATTCCAAGAGGATGCTGCGCTTCTCTTTGCTCCCTGGCTTGGTCCCTTTCCCCCTGCTTGGTTTCTGCTCAGGGATGGTTACCTCTGTAGGCAGAAATGAGCCAGAATGCATAGTGCAGACCTTGGATACCACCCAGGTTCCCCAAGGAGAATGGGCACAGTGAGGCCATTAGACCCTAGGAACTTTGGGTTTGAGTATAACGTAACAAGTGCAAGGGCCCCCAGCTAGGTAGATAGGCTCCTTTTCTGAGAACAGGGCCATCAGGATCCAGCTCTGGGGCACGAGCTGTAGAAGGAAGGGGAGCCAGCATGTCTGGGCTTCCCACATCATCACTGTGAGGAGGAAGGAAGGCCAGAGAGAGGCATGAGCAGGGCCAGCTCCTGGCAGACACATCCAGGCCAGGGGCCTCCTGCGCTGCTTTTCCCTCCTTCTCACAGGGAAGGTCACAGTCAAGGGGTACCTGCACTTACTCCCCTTGCCTGGCTTTGTGGTGTCTTCTTTCTTAGGGGTTCCTTGTGTGGGTGACTTCTCCTTCTTAACCACTTCCTGTGGAGGCTGTAAGAGGAGCGATAAGTCCTGCCTCCCAGGGGATGGGCAGCAGGTGTGGGAAGCCCTGGGGGGAGGTAGACCTGAGGCCCATTTGGCCTCCTTTCTTTCCCTCCCTCTGTACATCTTAGAGGTCCCTCCCAGACCACCCAGCTATCCCTAAGCCCACCTACCCCTGGCTTCTCCTTTTTCTTGGCCAGGCCCTTAAGGGTTTTCATTGACTGCATCTTTTCCACCAGTGCCACAGAGCTGATCCCCCCCATCTGAGGCTTCTCCCGTTCCATTTTGGCCTCTGCTTGTCGAGAGGAGGTTGGCTGTGCTCGTAAATGGGATAAAGCAGCAGTTAGAGCCCTTCTTCAAAGAGAGATGGTGAGGAGGATCCCCAGGTGGGGCAGCAGTGGGGCTGACGGCACCTGCCACCCATCTTCCTCCCAGAAGTTGAAAACAATTTGTCAGGACCTCCTCTGAGCTGAGGAGTATCGGAGGTATGGGCAGGGGTGAGTTGGGAGGTCAAGTGGGGTGCAGACTCTCCTACTGACTGGGAATAGCTGTCATTGGGCTATTTGCTGGGCACTATTGTAAATGTGCTCAATGAATTAACTCATTCAATCCTGTAAGGCAGGTACAATTCCCATTTACAGAAAAAGAAACTGAGGCAGAGGGGTTAAGTCCCGGGTCACAGGCTGATGCATGGATGAGCTGGAGTTCAAGTCCGGGTCTGAATCTAGTGCTTGGTATTTTGACGGCCCACAAGGTGGCTGTGCTGCTGGAGCCCACCCCGCAGAGGTTGGAGCCGAGTTCCAGCTGACACCTGCGGTTGCTCACCGATCTTGACCGCTCCTGTGACGCCTTCTCCAGTAGGAGGCGCCGGCGCTCCACCACCTCAGGGTGTTTCAGCTCGAAGGGGCGCAGGACCTGGGGCAAGGCCAGGCCTCCGTCAGACCCAAGGGAGGCCGGGGTGGGGGCTCCCCATATCGTAGCTGGCCCTCACCTCGGCCAGCTTCAGGGCACCCTTGTCCTGGATGCGGTTGTGCGCCAGGGACAGCCAGAGCAGCGAGCGGTTCAGCCGAAGGCCCTACGGAGCAGGCAGGTAGGTGGTTGGTGAGTCGAGCCGGGAGGGAGCGCCCCCACCCCGGCCTCCGTGCACGCACGTCCGCCAGGTGGCCCGCGCCCTTGTCCCCGATGAAGTTGAAGGCCAGGTTCAGGGACACCAGAGTCCGGTTGCTGCCGTGCAGTGTAGACAAAGCCTGGCCCAAGAGCTGTGCGCCGTAGTCGTTGATGTTGTTATTCCGCAGAGACAAATGAGCGATCCTGGGCCGCGGGAGAGGACAGGAAATCCGGCACTGCTGGGTGCCCTCAAGGTCTGGGGACTTGAGACAAGGATGGAGGGACAGGGCAGGAACGGAGGGCCCCCGGGGAGATGCCAGAGGATAAGGAAGGGCGGGGCTCATTCCTGTCGTGGAATGGGCGACAGGCCCAGAGAAGGGGGCAAGGGGGGGTGGCCTCACGTGCTGTCCATGGCCATGAGCTTGTGATAGGACTGTTTCGGCAGTGGGTTCCCCTCCAGAGACACCTTCCTGCAGACAGGAAAGATCTGAGCACCAGGAGAGACCACTGAGGAGGTAAGAGAGAGGGACAGACACAAGCAGGGGAGCAGCTAGGAAGCGGCGGCGGAAGGACCGGAAACCTGGGGGACCGATCCCCAGGCTGAAAATGCATGCATGAGCTCAGATGTGAAAGGGCCTCTCCGCAGGCTGACTGTGCTGGAGCAATCTCTAGAATGGCCCTCAGCTCCTGCTCTCCAGGCACTCTGTGACTCCCTTCACTGTGCCAGACCTAGGGGATCACTTCTAATGAACAGAATGTGGCAAGAGTGATGGGTGACACTGCCAAGTGTTGGTCCCACATGCAGGTCACCATGGTCTGCGCCTCCAGTGCTCTCTGGCACTCTCCCTAATGCCCTGTCACAGGACACGCAAATGCCTGGGGCAGCCAGCCACGGTGGTGCATGCCTGTAATTCCAGCACTCTGGAGGCTGAGGCAGGAAGGAGGATCGCCTCCAGTTCAAGGCCAGCCAGGGCTACATAGCAAGTTCAAGGCCAGCTTCAACTACATCATGAGACCCTGTCTCAAAAACGAAAGGAAAAGAAAAAAGCAACCAACAAATAAGCAGATGCCTGGGAGAGGCCTCAAGTCAGTCACACGGTAGAGCCAGGAAGCAGATTCTTCACTCCAGCCTCACCACAGCCCCAGCCAAGTTTTACTGCAGCCTCAAAACAGACCAAGCAAGAAGCACCCAGCTAGCCCACACCCAGATGATCTCACAGAACCTATGAGGGAATAAGTGCTGTTTGAAGCCACTAAATTTGGGAGCCATTTTGTTAGACAGTAACTGATAAATTACTGCATGACCCTTCTATAGACTAAGGACTTCTCCAGTAGTACTGAGAAAATACAGGTCTTTTTGAATCACAACAAAAACAACCACCAGATAGATTTTTTGTTTTTTTTTTCCAGTACTGGGAATCAAACTCACGACCTTGCACTTGCCAGGCAGGCCCTGTGCTGCTGAGCTAAATCCCCAGCCCCTAGATTTTTTTTTTTTAAGATAGGGTCTTGCTCTATATCCCAGTCCTCCAAGAAAAAACCAGCACCACCACCACCTCCAGGCAGCCTTCCAGGCCTTCCTGCCCCCTCCCATGAAGTGGGTGGCACTGCTTCACCTCCACCACCCCGACTACCCTGCAAGGTCTACTCCTAGGTCCTTTTCTCTGCCTCCTGGCTGTGAGTTCCTGCAAGATGACAACTGTCTTCCCAGCCTCAGGCCCAGGCCAAGGAACTGGGAGATGACCTCCAGGGAGAGTAGAGGGTGAGGCCCCAAGGGCTGGGCTCTTTGGATGCTGGTGAGGGCTGAAATGGGATTGAGTCTTGTCAGGGGAGAGCTTCACAACCCAACAGACATGTCTTGAAACCTGTGCCCTCCAGGATGCCAGGCCCAAGAGCAGGGACTCACCACTTCTGTACCAACTGCTCCCCCCACGCCTCCCCAGCCCAACCACTCTCCCCTCACCTGAGCGTGGGTGAGCAGAGAGGCAGGAGGGCGATGAAAGTGCTCAGGGTGTCATCCGTCAGCCCTACTTTCCACAAGCTGCAGTCAGCAGAAAGAACAGAAATAGCGGGAGGTCACCTGGTATGAGGACTCCTGCAAGTCCTCCAGCAGGCCCTTCCTTCCCTCTACCCCACTTTGCAGACCTGGCATCTGCCCGCTAGTGCGTGCGTGCGTGTGCGTGCGTGTGTGTGTGTGTGCGTGCACGCACACGCTCGCACACGCAGGCGTGCGTATGCTACTGGCTGGAGACTGACCCAGGGGCTTTGCACCCAGCCCTTTTTAAATTTTGTGCTTTGAAATCAATCAATCAATCAATCAGTCAATCAATCTTGTGTTCTGAGACAAAGTCTCGTTAAATGGCCCAGGCTGATCTGGAACTTTCGGTCCTCCTGTCTCAGCCTCCCAGAGTGCTGGGGTTCAGGATATTCCGTGCCCTTTTTTGTCTATCCTGAGCCCCCAGTATAGCTCACACACACTGACCCCTCCCCGACCCAGTGTCCTCACTTGATGGCCTGCAGCTGGCTGAGGGCAGGCAGGCAATTTGAGAAGATCCCCAGAATCCGGTCCTCCACCTTCCAGCCTGCAGAGGGAGAAGAGGGCCTTAAACCTGCGGGGGGCGGGGTGGGGGTGGGGGCTAGGACCTGGGGAGGGGCTAAGGCCGGCGGGGGCGGGGGTGTGTGGGTGGGACAGAGCAGGGTGTGCGAGCTACCACGGATGTAGATCTCCTTCACCGCCTTGCCGTCGTCCTGCTCCAGCTCCACCTGGATGGTGGGCCGGAAGAACACGTATTTGCTCTCCAGACTGTTGAGGCTGCAGGACGCTGACAGCCGCTGGTCCTCTGGAAGCCAGGTGAGGAGGCTGGAGGCTGTCGCACACCCCCCCCCACCCCGGGAACTCCAGCCTCTCACCGCCCCCAGCCCTGCCCCGCACACTCACAGACCCCTGACCAGCCACTGCCACTCACCGAGGGTGGGCTTTTCCGAAGTGGAAGCGGAGGAGTCGGAGATAGGGTGCGGGCGCGGCCGGGTGACAACCTTGGGGAAGTCGGTGTAGCCCGAGCGCGCGCAGAGCTCGGCGAAGTCGGCCTCTAGCACCCCCGTGCACTGGTACTCCTCTGCGGCGGGAGGGAGGGCTGGTCAGGGGCAGTGCTGTTACCAGCAATACCGCAGCCACAGAACTGTTCAAGTCTCTGAACGATCACGTGCCAGGAAAACCAAATTGATTATTGTGTGTTATATGTGCAGACCAAGCAGCTGCCATCCCTGGACAGCCTTCTGGCTTCACTGCTTAGGTCAAAGAGGCCACTGCTGAATGTGACACACTTCCACTGTGTGTGCCATCCACAGAAAAAGGCTGAAAAATGTCACCTGAACTTAACGTTGTTTGCAAGATGTGATTGATATTAGCAACCACATTCAAGTGCTTACCTTTAATTCACATCTGTTCAGGAAGCTGGAGAGGAGTGACGTGCAGCACACACATGTCTTCTCTATATCTGAGATGCAATGGCTCTCTCAAGATAGATCACCAGCCAGTTTCTGAGTTAGGAAAGCCGCTCTGGAGATTTCTTTTAGAAAAAGTCACTACCAATAGCACATGCACTGACAAAAAGGGGTCCTGAAACTTGCTTACTTGTGTGACACACAACCTGCTTGGCAAAGTCAATCTACCCCTTTAGGGAAGAATTACAGCTGTAGTCAAGCCAGCAGATAAAGTGACTGCATTCAAAGCCAAACTGGAATTATGAGGGTGATGAGTAAACTTTGTTTGTTTGCTTCATTTTTTTGAAACAGAATCTCACTGTGTAGCCCAGGCTGTGTATAGCCCAAACTCACAGTATATAGCCCAGACTCATGGTGATCCCCCTGCCTCATCCTCCCAAGTGCTAGGATTACAGGTGTTCGATGCCACATGGCTTAAACATTGGGATTTTTAACTTTTTTTTTTTTTTTTTTGGTACCAGGAGTCAAACTCAGGACGTTGCGCTTGCTAGGCAGGTGCTGTGCCACTGAGCTATATTCCCAGCCCTAAGGTACATTAACTTTTTTTTTAACTTTGGGTTTTTTTTTTCTTTTTTTTTTTTTTTTTTTTTTTTGCGGTACTGGGAATTGAACTTAGCTTGCCAGGCAGGCATTTATGCCACTGAGCTTTATCCCCAGCCCTACATTGGGATTTTTAAAATGCTTTAAACTTAGCAGAAATTTTGAAGGTGATTGAGTCAGGGTCTTCTTTCTTCCAGCTGGTGCATAACTACCTATCACAGCTTTCAAAAGGTTTGAGTATGCCTTCCCAGCCACAAAAGACCCCCAAACTAGAAAGGAGTGGATCTAGGACCAATTTGTGAATTGGGGAACCAACTGTGTCCATACTGAAACAGGATCCATTGCTTGAGGTCACAAGTGACAGTGGTCTTTGAAGTATGTTTGAGACAATTTCAGATCCCCATACATTCTGGATTAAAGTCTGAGATTCCCACACAAACACTGAAAAGCCTGCTTCCATTCCTAACATTCTGCCTTTGTGAAACAGGGTTTTCTGCAATGACAGCAACAAAAATGAGATTATGGAGTAAACTGGACACAAGCAATACACTTTGGGTGTCACTGTCTCTCATCACCCCCAGAAAGGACTATCTAGTTGCAGGAAAATAAATCAGGGCTCCCACTGATTCTGCATTAAGGTAAATTGTATAATTATTTCATGAGTTTAAGGCCAGTTGGGCTATGTGGTGAGTTCAAGGTGAACCTGAACTACATAACAAGACCTTGTCTCAAAAAAACGATTTCATGTAATAATGTAATACTAGAAATAAAGTGCACAATAATGTAATGTGCTTGAATCATCCTGAAACTATCCACCACAACCCCATCCATGGAAAAATTGTCTTCTATGAAATGGGCCCTGGTGCCAGTTCTGCTCTAGGAGATTCTGTCCTATCTTATCTTCCTTCTGGAAGATATTCTTTCTTTAGCTCTCCTAATTCTCCACCCACTCACAGCCACTTGCACTGACAGGGAGATGATATCTTGCAAGGTTTGGACAATCAGAGCCTTTTTCCAAGTAAAACACCTCCAGTCCAGAGACAATAACTTACTGTCCCTCTCTGATGGCAGAGCTGTCAAGTTTGTGTCAAGAAGCCATCCAATAAATTCTCATTTGTGCTTACTAGATCAGGTTGCAGTTCTATCACTTGCAACAAAGTGTCACCCCCTATGTATATAACACCCCCTATTTATATGACTCACTATGACTTATATGGTTTTGTTTTCTTTTTCTAGAGAAAGTAAATTCCGTGAAAGCAGGACTGTGTTCATCTTGTTCTCTGAACCATACCAGTCTCAGAGCAGACATTCAAAAAATAATTGTTAAATGAATGATTATCTATATAACGGCTTAAGACACCTCCTGGCAGACCCCACCTCCAGCATTCCCTGGGTCTTCCCCTCATACATCTCATATCTTATCACATCGTATTGTGCTTGTCAGCATCCCAAATCACAGTGTGGCTTCTTTAAGATGAAGTTCAACTGCCAAGCCTGAGGCCAAGCCAAGGCTGGCTTACGACCAGGGAGAGGCGGGTGGGAAGGCGCAGAGCGGCACCTGGAGCCTGGTTCCCCTGACCCCATTGCCAGCCCAGCGTACCCGGGTTTTTGGACTCCTCCTCAGCCATCAGCGGCTGGACGGCGGCTGGTGCCGACTTCTCCTTGGCCCCTCGCTCCCCTTTCTTGGTCGTCGCGCCGGACGACTTCTGGGTCCCAGGACGCGGGGTCCTGGTTGCCGTTCCCGGCTCGCTCGACATACTGGTGTGTTTGCGACCCTCCTGGGAGCGGTTCAGCCGGACAGGACTCTTGTGAGGCTCACGCTGGTGACGGCTGAACTAGTGGGTCTCTGTTCGGCTGGTACCCACGGGAATCCGACCAGCCAGCAGCGTGAGTCCTACGCGTCTCTCTCCCAGGCGACCGCGCGAGGTGGGCCGGCCGAGGCAGCGGAGAGGGGGCGGGACTTACCGGAGGGTGGGCGGGGCTGATTAGACGGATGGACTGGGGGGCCAGGCGGAGGGCGGGCTAACTATAGGAGGGGCGTGGCCCAGACTGTTGCGGTTACAGGTGAACCCCTGAGCTCCTGGCGTCTGAGCAGTGGGAGAAAAGCCAGGACCGCCCAGAACCTGAGCTGGGCCGTAGTGCAGGGAGTAGAGTGAATTCTCTAGCGAACCACAGCCCAGAGGGCAAGAATGAGCAGGTGCTGGGCAATCCAAAGCCACCCCAGGAATTGACCCAGCAGGGCAAGGTCGGGCACTCAGAGGACACCAGGGAGAGTCCAGGTAGGGGCAAGTCCACTCTCCGGGGTTGGCCCACCCTGACAGTGTAGTGCTGGATTCCTCTTTACCCCACTTGTTTAGTCTCCTGGAGGTCTGAGAGCTCAAGCCACTGGCCCGAAGACTGGTCTACGCCCCAAGTGTTCTACCCTGCTGGGCCCCTTCTGAGTATACTCTCTCCCGAGGTCTTCCGGCCTCAGCCTCAGCACCCCACTCTATGCCATGCACCCAGCCCTGCTCCCTCTCGTGTAGAAATCCCACCCTTTGGGGAGCCTCTGATGGAAGCAGTCTATTCCTGTCAGAGCACACAGCATGCCCACCTACGGCAGCACTTGCCACAGTGTCATTTGCACTTTAATTCACTCAGCCACGAAGACTTTTGGAGAACATTTATTGAGTGTCAAAGGTAAACAATACTGAGCATCAACACAGAAGTTCTGCCTCCAGGAAGTATAGTCCCGTTTAGAGGCAGAAAATGCAACAATCACAGGAATAAGAAATCAGAGTGGTACTTGCCCCCTGCTGGCCTTTTGCAGGGACACCAGTGCCTTTCAGGGGGACACACTAAGCCCACAGGTGACAAGAGCACTGTGGCTTGCAAGCCCCTTGGGTAGGAGGAAGTGTGACAGATAGCAGGACCTGGGGGCCAGTGTGATTAGAACAGAGTACTAGGAGACACAGTTCAAGATGAACCTGGAGAGACAAACCAGCCCAGAAGCAGGGCCTCTAAGGCCTTTGAAAGTTTGGACTCTGGCCCAGGAGCAAAGGGGCACCCAGGAAGACAGGGAGCCTTCTGGGAAGCCAACCCAGGGGTGTCTGAGCAGTGGGTGGAGGCATGGCGAGTGAATGCAGCAGGCCAGGGAGGGGCTACTGCTAGAGCTAATTGGGCTTCTGGGTTGCTCCTGGGCTAAATGATGAGTGCCTGAGGACAGGACTGGAGTGTGTGCACACATACACAGCGCCCTGCAGGACGTGCACAGGAAAGGTACCCATTACACATTTAAAAAACAGTCTGAAATCAGAGTCACCCAGCAACATTCACCCATCAGTTTACGTACACAGGGCCCGAGGGGCCTTGGGGAGCAGCAGGTCCATGAAAGGGAACCAGCCATCCTGCCAACAACTGTCTCCCCTGACAGAACCTGGAGCGAGGCTCCTAGCTCTCCATTCACTTCCTTCATTAAATATGTTCGCATCACAGCCTGCCCGTCCTCTCCCTGCTCCTGGCAGTATACACAAAGCTCTGTCCCCAGCCTTGAGTGGCAAGGGCTAGGTATGCTGGCTTCTGCCATATCATCTTGGCTCCTCAGCGGTCCTGGCGCCGAAGTGGGGGCGACGGGGGATGCCGTACTGGAGGTAAGTCATAGTGTCCAGGGATGTGGCTATTCTTGGGTGAGTCGTAGTGGCCAGGGGGCAGACCTGGTGGAAGAGGGGGCTGGGAGGCCATGGAGTCTTGATCTGGAGACAGAAGGGACCAGATAAGAGAGAGGAGGGTCCTCAGCCTCCCACCCATCACCTCCACCTCCCACTCCTTCTGCCCAAGGAGAAGTGAGCGTTGGATATGGCACATTTACTACCACCTGGCTGGGCAGCCCTGAGCCAAAGCCTTCCCAACCCTCAGCTGCCACTGAGAGAAGCCACTTCAGCCTGTCACCTCACAGGGCAAGGGGATGATTTGTCACCTGACTTGCTCCCCACTTCTCAGGTGCTACACCACTACCACTTCGAATCCTCGGCCTCTGAGTGCACAGTACCCTACAGATGAGGAAACGGGCTCTAAGGGACAGTGTGACTTCCCCAACATCACCTGGTTTGAGCCCAAGTCTGACCACACCATGCCACCTCCTTATTCTCTCCCTTTGTCCCTCTCTACTCCCCTCTTGCTCTGGTCCCCGCCCCCTCAGAGAGGGAGGGCTCACCATGGATCAGGGGGCTGGGCTGCTCATAAGTGCCACTGTCTCTCTGTGGCTGGGGCTGCCACCGCCGCTGGCTGTCCCGGTGCTGAAGAGACTGCCTGGGAGGAGAAGCTGAGGGAGGGCCTTTCATCTCCACATAGCTGCTCTCTCGGGGACCCCCTGGCAGGCTGGGCAGGTCTCGGATGGTGGCATATGGGTTCTCACTGCTCAGGGAAGCCAAGCTGGTCCCCAGCTCCTCTTCAGAGATGTTCCCTCGGGTTTGAGGAAAGAATTCAGTTTCCATGAAGACACTGGCTCTTGACCAGGTCCACCCCTCCCTCACTGCCCCTGTGCCTATACCTTTATTAGAGATCAGGCCTGGGCCATTACCATGCCTATAGCTATAGCTATAGCTTCGGTCCAGACGGCTGCCACCTAAGGAATGGGAGGCAAGTTGCAGTGAGCCCCCAGTCCCCTCCCCAGGTTCTAGCCTCCTCTAGAACTGCGCCCAGTTCCTGCACACACTCGACGGCAGCAGCAGGATGCTGCACAGATGCACCCACTCCAGAGCCATGGCCTCCCAGCCCCTACCCCTGTCCAGAGGCCCTGCAGGGCTCTCCCGGCGGTGCTTCCAGTCAGCGGGCAGGGTGGCGTGGTTGTCATGCCTGTGGGCTCCACCTGACCTCTCGGGTGCCTGGAGGCTGGCAAAGAGCTGGCTGCCTGGAACCTGAGGGGATAGTGCCATAGGGAGAGCAGACTCAAGGACTGGGCTTCCCCAAGAGCCAGTGTGCACCCATCCCTCCAGTGCATCCCTCCCTGGCACTGACCTTGTTCGGGGGCAGGGGGTTGGGGGAGCACTGTGATAGGGTGTGGTAGCTGGGGTTGGAGTAGTAGTGACTGTAGCTCGGAGGAACATCTGCAGGTCAGACAGGCACAGAGGAGCTCAGAGATGGCCCATTTTGTCCCAGGAGATCAGCAGCTCAGCCTCCCTGGCCTCCCTTTCTTCCTCTTCCCAACTTCCCATCTTCCCGTGCACCCTGTTCGCCCTTGCCTCATTTGTGCCACATGCCCCTGCACCAGCTCACCTGGCATGACATACTCAGAGCCATCCAGCCGCCCACTGCTGTATGCCACTGCCAAGTGCTGGTGCTCCTTGCCTTTTTGCCAATGGCGGTAGCCGATGAACAGTGCTATAAGGGCCACGACAAGGGACCCCAGCACTGCAATGCCAATCACTGCACCCAGTGAGTTATAGGCCACTGGAGAGGTAGGCATCACGGTGAAGGGCTCCTGGCTTCCTGTGTAAGGTGGGGTAGGCACTGAGGGTGGCGTCTTAGCTCTGCTGTGAGCTAGGGTATATGCCTAGGAGAAGTGGCCAATAGGAGGCAGGGATAATGTGACAGGCCTTGGTCCTTGTTCCCTGGGGACAGTGCTGGAGGAGGGCTGAGAACTCACCAATCCTGCAGGGTGCACCACTATACCCTGGGGGACACACACAGGAGCCTGTCTCTGGATGGCACTTCTCTCCGGGACCACACTCGCATGGTTGGGAGCAGTTGGCACCAAACATCCCTGGAGGGCAGCCTGAGGAGAGAGCCCAGGAGGCAAGCCGGAGTTACAGGAGTCAGGAAGCTACAGCCTCCTCCCTCCCGAGGGCTGAGCTGAGGCACAAGTATAGTGCCCCCAGCTGTGGGTACCTTCTGAGCAATGCTGTCCAGTCCAACCTGGGGTACAGATGCAGCTCCCATCCTGGGGGCGGCAGGTCCCACCATGGTGACACTGGCAGGACTGGGCACAATTAGCCCCCCAGTGGCCTGAGGGGCATGCTGTAGGAGACAAGGGGCCTGTTGTGGGTGGGTCCTCCCCTCCTGGACCAACTCTGAGCCCCTAAGGTCTCTTAAGTTTTTTTTTTTTTCCTTTGGAGACAGGGTCTCACCATGTACCTCAGGCTGGCCTTGAACTCACTATGTAGTCCAGGCTGCCCTCAAACTCTCAGAGATCCTCCTGCCTCACCTTCCCAAATGCCAGGATTATAGGCATGCACCACCACTCCTGGCTCACCAAAGTCTTTTGCTTGGCCTTAGTCTCCAGGAGACACCAAAGCTTCAGGCAGTATCTATGCACCACTGACTCACAGTAAGTGTACTTCAGCCCCATCTGTCTGCTGAACACCAGGCCCACGTGTCTACCCACGTTCTCACCACTGCACTCAGCTGTCTAACGGCCACTGCAAACTGACCCAGCCAGGGCTGGGCCACCACAAGCTCCTAAACTACTCTGGATTCCTTAGGTCTGGACTCCATTTGTTTTGTTTTTTGACCGAAGGAAGAAGTAATGTCTACCTTACTTATATATTATTTTTGTGTGCCTGACACCAGAAGTAACCTAACAGTTGCTACTGAATTCTATAGACAAATTCTTCACAGGGATAATTTCCTTCTTTACTCTGACTGCCGGGAAGCTTAATTCCAGACTTTTGCATGGCAACAGCTTCTGTGTCCCCTTTCAAAAGGTGCTTCAGTATCTGTTTTGTCTTTTCCATCATCATCTTCATATATTTATGTGGGAGAGACCACATATGAATAAATACATACATAGGAAAATGTAAAATATCACAAGAACAGTTCCAAAACTGACCTCAGGATTTCCCCACTTTCATAAAACAATGTTCTCAAAGGACAGGGAGTGTTTTTCCCGACATTCACCGCAGCACTCTCAGCACCCAGAATGTAGGTGCTGCCCAATGAGTATTTGTTCATATTGTTTATATAAATAACTGAA